GGTCCAGTTTGCTCTCTCTCTCTCTCACACACACACACACACACACACACACACACACACACACACATACATAGTTCCAGTAACACACAGCATTTGTTTTAAACTCTCTCTGAATAAACATTGCACCAAATTTAGCTAAACATATTTCAGTTAAACTCTAGAGAGTCTGGAAACAGCCTGAGGACACACATACACACACACACACACACACACACACACACATATACTCATGAAAGCTGAAACATTCACCAGTGCCAGTTACTGACGACTGGGTTACACACACACACACACACACACACACCGTTACTCTGAGGGAGGTCAAGTTAAAGACTGACACAATCACTGTGTGTGTGTGTGTGTGATTGTAAAGCCCCTGGAGCAATTACAGCCCACTGATTGGGGGTAATTGGAGGCACATGTGAGCTTATGTATATTTATATGTATATGTGTGTGTGTGTGTGTGTGCCTGTGTGTCTATTTTTATATATGTGTATGTGTGTGTTCATTTTCAACCATTCATTTAAAATTCTGTACAAGATCCTTGAAAACTGACAGAGAATTTAAAAAAAGAGAATAACCAATTTAAAGGAAAATGAATCGCAAATCCTGAAATATGAGTCAATAGTTTCAGAAGAAAATGTGCTTAGATTTGCCAAGATATCAAAGTCTGCGATCAAAGTTACAGATCTCAACAGGATCTCATTTCTCATCAAATTCTCTCAAGATCAAAAATAGTTATGCATTTATTTTATAGCTCTATGTCAACTATTGACTCATTTGTGTGTATTTTTATTTTAGACAAATGTGAGGCAAAGCTGATGCCTAACTGAGATCTCTAGGGGCTGTTAACACAGAACACATTATTTTCCATTCCAATGCATTACTTTTTAATTGTAGAGGTGTATGACTGTTGCAGTGTCTCACACATGAGTGCCACGTTTTTTAAGACGCTGTTACCCATTAAAAGAATTTCAACTTTTACATGCAGCGCCGCTCATCAATGTCAGTTCCAAAACAGCGGACCAATCAGAAGACTCCAGAGGTGGGGCAAGCGTCGCCAGCTTTTGTTTACAGTAGCAAGTTGGCATGGCAACTATTTTATTTGATGGTAAATGTGTGTGGTGGAGTCGGCATTCTGCGATGTGTTGTGCTTTTTTAAAAAACATTCCTGAGCGCTGCATCTCACATTTTTAGACGCAAAGACACATACTATGTGAACAGCCCCTATAAAAAGTCTTGTGAGCTTTGAAAGAGCAACAGCTAATCTATCAGAGCTAACAAAATCTGTTTGAGCATCTTAACCAGCACAACACAGCAACCAATGGTGTGAGTTTGGAGGCAGGGCTTTCTGTTTTTACAACCAATGGAAGACAAGTGAGTGTTAAGGAAACCTGTCTGCAACAGTCACTATTTTTGCAATTCTGTTCAGAGACAATAGCTGCACAGAAAAGACCCACTTTGTGTTTAAACACAAAGAACAGAGACAGCACAAGAATCAACATGGAAATATTCCTGTCATCAGAGTCAAACTAAACCATTCCAGACCTCAAAACGTGTGTGTGTGTGTTTTCTCTGGCGTAGTATAGCTCTATTATGTGCTGTATGCTGATCCGTGCAGGAAACAGACACACTTAACTCACTGAAGTGTGGCATTCTGGGACAGCTGGAGTCCTTGCTGCTCAAATAAAGACCTACTAATATTTACAGCAATCTGTCTGTGTGTGTGATTCTAATTCAAGACATCAATGAACAGAACACCAGCCAAACCACCCACACACACACACACACCCTGAAACACACAATCCTCTAAACCACAGAAAGTGCTATTGAGATTCAATATCAGTGTGCAAACAAAGTACAAATAGTAAAAGTTAATGGAGGAGTGAGTCTGTGTGTGTGTGTGTGTGTGTGTAAATGTGTGTCCCTCAGTGGTTTTTCCTTGTTTCACCTGAAACATTGTGGCAACTGCACAACAACGTGTAGGCAACAATCCATGAGACCCTAGCAACATAATGGTGAGTTTTGCACTGGCAAACACTACTTGTGCAAAATTTCTTCAGAAAATGTACAAATGTAGTTTGAATGTGAGTGAGTGAGTGAGTGAGAAAGCACATGCTTTTATGTGTGTGCATGTGTGTGGCTGGTGAGTCCATGAAAACACACACACACACACACACACACACACCTGCTGACCTTTAGAACCACAATGGCATTTCCACGACAGGCGCTGATGAGAGAATGCTGGTCTCATATCCCACTAAAAGACACAGCCAGCAACACTTGATGGCCAGTGTGTGTGTGTGTGTGTGTTTTTAGAGAAACACAGTTTGCTTCACTCTTTCATTAGAGCAGCTGTAGGAGGGCTATCAGGCAGTGTTGTGCTAGTTGTTGTGTAATAGTGTTTAGTCTCAGTCAGCGTTGTGATGTTTATTCTCTTGTACACTGTCAAACTCCCTGTGCAGGACAGACACATTCCTGATCCGCTCCTCAAAGCTGAAGCATTTCTGTATTGCAAAATTACAATGATAGGCTTGCCAGGTTTTCATGACGTTTAGTTTACCAGTAATAATCAGTCCTACACAAAGTTTGCCTAAAACAAACGTGGTGAAAAGGCTTTCTTAAGGAGTTTAATTAATTTCAGTTAAAAAGCAAGGCTTAAAGTTAAAAAGACATTAAAATGGCAAAATTACAGTATTTATTTTCATACTACCATCATAATTTATATATATATATATATAGAGAGAGAGAGAGAGAGAGAGAGAGAGAGATATAAATATATTCGAATTTATTTTCATACTACCATCATAATTTATATATATATATATATAGAGAGAGAGAGAGAGAGAGAGAGAGAGATAGATAGTAATAGTTGCCATTTTATTAAAAAATATGCTTAAAATGTAATTTCCACCACAAAATGGTATAAACACAATACATCATTTGAGATGTGGTGGAAATGACATTTGATGGATCAAGAGAAAAATGGCAGAATTCTCCTGTGACGCACATATAAACACTGCTGGACATGGTTAGTACACAAATTCAATAAACTAGGCCTAAAAGTGTCCTTTAAAGGAGTTTCTAAAAGTGCACAGGGCCAAACGTGCCCAGAAACACACACACACATTCATAAATGACAGAGCAGTAAAACATCCAAAGAATGTTTTTCTACACACCATGTAGAAACAGAGCGAGAGAGAAAGAGAAAATAAGAGAGAGAGAAAGAGAGATGGATAGTATTTTCTCTGTGTAGATCCACCTGGACAAACACACAGTCACGTTACAGCATTGTTACTGAACACACACACACACACACACACACACACACACAGCGCTGGCTCTGTGTTTATGCTGACACGGCAGACAGACCCACGCTTACCCAAACACACGGGCCTGTCCCACACACACAGAGCCAGAGAACAGAAGATCACGGCAGGACAGCAGATCTACATACGCTCAAACTACAGTCACACATTAACTGCAGCAAATC